GATCGGATTTATTCTCCCCGTTTTCGCAACACCCCTTGGCTCATCTCTAGTAAGCCTGATATTATCCCCTTCCCTTTCAAACCTACTTTAAGGTTCTTCTCGATGAGCCTGACCAACTCATGTGTAAGGATCCTTCTACCCCTCTGAGAAAGCTGAATTCCATCTGTTGTCAGGAGGCTCAATGCTGTGTAAACCTCTCAAGGATCAGAAAGCCCAAAATTCCACTGATTCCTCTGAGCCTCGTGTTAATCAGGTGTGTTTTCCAGTTCATTTCAGTATCTTCCCTGCCACTGAAGGGATTGAGCAGATAATAATGAGAGAGCTATACCAGACCAGAGTAACATCTCTAACCCAGGCCCCAGGGAGTCAGCAGACCTCCCTGTGGGATAGGTCTGGTCAGCTATCGGGCCCTCTGTTCCCCTCAGACGGGAATTGCCTATGACATTTACCCTCCTTTTTTTCTTAATTCGGGCAGATATAATACATGGGGCAGATTGACTGACCATAGGCAACCCCTTGGATGGGCTCTCTTCTACAGCCTCATTTGCCTGGCCCTCAAATTCCAGAGCCCATATCTATTGTGTAAGGGCAACTGGGAAGTGAGACTCAGGCACTCCCTGCAGCCAGAGACCATACAAAGGAGAAGCTATGGAAAACTAACAGTAGGTAGAGCTTGATGATTTTATTTAGGAGCTCTCGCTTTGTGCATTGGCTTCTCCAGCAATCTTGTTTCTAGGCAAGTCCGTGTATGCGCCCACATTCTTTCTGGGTGGTCCAAGATCTTGCAGCTGTTTTTTCTGTGTGGCTTCTAGTTCTTCCAGTCGCTTGTAAAGCAGGGAAAGCTGTCTTTGATGCTGTTCCTCCTTGAAATAAAAACAAAAACAAAACTAGCTCTATTACATTTTGCACATCTACAGGGGACCAAAATGAGCAATAATTTCATTTCATTTAATTAACGATTTTAAAATAAAAATTGTGAAGTCCAAAATATTCATTAAGTTTTACTCGGTGTTTTGTGGGTATTGTTCTGACATTCACGATGAACAGCATCAGGAAGAAACAAAAATGCGGGCATCCATCTTCCCAGATGAAGAGGCACACAGACCTGAGGTCTCCCTTACCAAGAGTCTGTAAAGTCAGCCTGGTCAACCTCAGCCAGGAAGACACTGACCCTCAGAAGCTCACCAGAATAAGTTAAAAATAAAAAGTCTTTTAACCACAGAGGAAATCACAAGCAGCAATACTGCTTCTTAATAATGAAACCGTGGTGTGAGAGCAACACTATCATATTTCTTGCTCAGAAGAAGCCATTTAAAGCCTCCCAAGAAGAGGACAAAGTACAGAGAATGGGGTTAAAACTGCCCATGTGTTACATTCTCTAACGTATTGTTTGTCTTTCAAGAACTCCTTCCTATTTCGAGGAAGGGAACATCAGTAGAAGCATTCCTCAAGGTTTCCTTCCTCTGTTCGAAGACCAAATACTCCTTCCTTAAGACTAAGGTCTGTTAATGAAGGACAGTTCCAGCACCGTCTTTTGCTGTATTATTTTCACAATTTGTAATACATCACCACCTGTAGAAGAGGGAAGGACACTTCAGGCCACAGAGGCAAGGCAGATGATGACCTTACACTGTCTGGGTTGAGTGACGGCATGGTAGGATTCAGAATTAAACTCCGGAATTCATTGTGCCTACGCTGCAAGTCCTTCAGTCTCTTCTGGAGGCACATGTATTCTTTATAGGAAACGTTCTGCCTAGGAAATAAAAGATTTCTTGTTGCTCAGAATATTTATTATCCCAAGACAGCAACAGACCTCTGCATGAGTACCCTACTGTTTATTATGCCTACAAAGGAAATCTGTATACCAGAAAAACTGGACGGTGGAAGATCTATATACTTTTCTGCCTAAAAGTCCGTCCACCCAGTAAGACATTTGGTGTATTACAGATTAGAATTTAAATGGAATAAATTAAGCTTTAAATAGCATTCACAGCTACAGGAGCCACATTAAATTATGTGAATCAAGCCCTTCATGGGTGCTCAATGAAAAGGAAAAAACAGGAGTTTGTCTTCCAGCAGGATGTTAAGTCTGTTTCTCCCACAATTCTGAAGCTTTCTTCTTCCCTGACTTCCACTTAGTTTCACATACTGTACTTTCAACACCTTTTTTACAGGCTTCCTTCCTTTGAAGGGATTCCTGCAACTGCATCTATCGGATATTTCCCCCTAATTTCTCCCTGAAGAGACTGCTCTGCAGTTTTCTCATAAGCTGTCCATCCTACATGGGCTCCATTCAAAGAATTCTAGTGCTGAAAATGCTGTTATACTGAACTCCAGTTACTAAACTAAGCATCATGTATGTTCAAAATTACTTCCTATTTGTAAATCAGATCTTGAGCATATATCGGTTTTTAAACTAAGAAAAAGTAAAGTTTATTACCTCTTTAGCACCTGATTTTCTATTGCTAGCTCTTCTGTCTTGGCTTCCAAAAGTTCTAGTTTCTGTTGCAACCTCCTTTGTTTGTTGTCAGAGAGAGTCTTTCTCTGTCAAACAGACATTTCAAACAGAGCTAGATAAAATCCTGTAAAAATTAAATCTACACTGCATATGTATTCAAAGCTGTGACAGTTTTTAGGATTTTCCTTCTTAAGACGAAGTGCTGTGTTGTTTAAAGGCTCTGAATCCCCATCATGGGAAACAAGAGATGGGAAATGATCTGCAGCTGTGACTGAAAGATGCACAGCTGTCAGTCACTCCTTGGTCAGTGACTAACTGTATTTGCGGATTACAAAGTTCGTTCTTTAAATAAGCATAAACATGACCCAAAAAAGAGTATGCTTTCTTTTTTTTGTTCATGTTGACCTCAACTTTAACAACCTTAAAAGCTAGCAGTAGGTTTTATAACCTGTATATGTCCAATGTATAAACCTGCCAATTAATCTTGAGCTTTTATAAACAATCAATCAGCTTTTCATTTCAAGTTATTTCATAAAAAGCAAGCTTAGGAGAAGATATAATATTCCATGAAGGAAAAGTAGAACATCATTTGTCTAGTATCCAAAACATCATCCTTACTAATCAAAGAGTCCACTTCTTAAATAACTGTATACAGACACAGTCAAAAAAGCCCCACAAAACCTCAGATGTTGTTGGCTCTAATATTCTTTTGCATATCACTTCAACCTGTTTCTGTGCTAAACTTGAAGAACCAGATATATTTTGTTATATACAGCAGATTGCAAATAAACTCTTAATATTAAAACAATTCTAGCTGGTCAAAGGAGATCTGCACTTTCCATAAGCTGGATCATTCACAAAGGAAGAGGTAACATGCCTTTTTCTGAGCAACAGCAGCTCGACGTAGCTTTTCCTTTATTTGGTTGTATTTCTCTTCTTTCTCTGTGATGCGCTGAGTAAGCACATGCTTCTCCTCCAGCCATTCTGTTCTCTTGTACTCGAAAGCCCTTTGAAAAAAACAGGTAAAATGATTAAGAGGTTATACAAAGCAGCGCTTTGGATTAATGCCTTAAGGCTCTTACAACAGATGCATCTTTTCTCAACTCCTGCTTTTATATACATGAAGTATCTGATTTAATTTGATTGAGCTAACAATCTGATTGTGACTAACAACATTGAAAGCTGTGCATCAATATAGTCCTTGGTTTTGTACAACTATAAGTCAAATTTTGAAAACTGAATCCAAGAAGCTAGTTAATTGTTTGACTTGTTGCTTTGGCACATTTCCAAAGCATCCACAGGAAAAAAATTCTAAATTCAGATCAAATAAACCCACTGGACCACAACAGTAGCCACCTATGCCATACATCAGTTGTCAGAAGAGCTGGCAATCACCGTCTCTGTTTGGGAGGTAAGATGTAAGAGAACAGGTTGCTGCTCTTCATCATCTACTATGCCTTCATAACAGAGAAGTACAGGCACTTCACTAGTACATGCTCCCGACCAGAACAAACACCAACACAACAGGAAGCTTCCACCAATATGGTTCCTAGACAACATTCCAGCTGAACGCACACCACCACCAACATCTATTATCTGTTTAGGCCTTTGCATCGTTAAAACATACTAAAATTAGGTTGTGTTCTCTAGGGAACAGGAAAGGAGCCAGTTACTCTCTGCTGCCTTGGTTGTTTGGGCTATCTGCATTGTGGGTCAAAGCAGACAAGAACTAACTGCATGTTTAACTACATTACTATATGAAAAAAAAAACAACCCCAAATTGTGAGATTTTGTGCATCAATTTTTAAGAAAGGCAGTCCAAGTCTTGGTATCAGCACACCAATACCACTCCAGTCCTGGGCTAATGCAGTTTCCCTACAGGAACTCTGAATGAGTCTCCATAAATTTCTCAGCAAACAGCCTTTCTTTTCCCCACAGAAGTATTAGGAGTCACCCACTCTCACATCAGAACCAGGATCCTGGCTCACTCAGTACCCATCACAGTTCTTTTAGCAGAAGTGTTACCCCCAGTGTGGATACTACTCAGCAACTACTACTACTCAGGAACCAAAGAGCTTTCTTAAAAAGCGTTGCTTAACAGTAAAAGAATTTCAGCTGGGACAATGGTTAAAAATACCACGAGACTTTTTTTTTAGTGTCACTAATGCTGTTCCTGAAATGCTTAACAAGAGCCTGTTTAAGCTCACCTCTGAGCTGTATCAGTCTCATAATTTGCCTTCCACCCTTCTTCTCATTTCACATTTTCATTTCCAAGCCTAAGACTGACACAGCCCAGCAGGCAGCTGTTTTGCCTACTTATGGCTCAACTGGCATTATTTTACTTATCTGAAACTTCTTCTCTTAGGTTTTCTTATATTTCGGTCCTTATTTCACTTCCTCTTTAAGCCAAGTTTCTTTGGTGCAACTTAACTCTTGGAGTTCAAGCCTGTAAGAATTACTGATGTGCAGAAGGAAGTCCTATCACCCACAGCATCAGAAAAAGAATGGAAACACGCCTCAAGGCTCCCAGGGTAATGGTAGGACAGAACAGCTTCATTTCTGTAGTATCAGCCTTGGTGCAACTTCCGTTATCTACATACTTATACAATGACCTCTGAGGACTGCCAAGTTCTTTCCACTGCCTTCCAAGGAAAATCTACTCCTGAGTGGTCTATGGCCCATAAAGATGGAAATTATATTGACAGTCTCACTCAAAATATGAATACACTTTCCTAAAGCAAACATCCAAAGTATTTGACACGCTAATGACAACTGATCGTACTCTGCAGTCCTAATGCAATAATTTCTACAAATGTCAAAATGAAAAGCAATGGTCAATCTAATGACAATAAAGCAGTTTCAGTACCAATTCACAGCAAAAGAGAAGTTAAAACAAAAAAGTCTTACATCTTTCGAAAGATTTCTATTTAATTTGGGACGCTGACTTTTTTTTAAAAACACACCGCATAATAATCCAGTACAAGTTAGACATGTATGTGGTTATTCTGCTACGATACACTACATAGCCACTTCAGAATGACTGACAGACAAATCTCTAAATTTCAGGAAAGTGTTCATTCCTATATGGAGTCTGAACAAGATTTGGTTTCTTTCGATATTTATTAGCATATTTTGATTGTACGTGGTCAAACTTGTGCAAAAAAGGAAAGTGATTATTTTTAATTTTGATGAGAGCAACTAGAAGATATCCAACGAGCTTTTATTTGCCTCATATCAGCTAACAGGATCTAGTGGGAAGGGAGGGGGAAAAAAGTATATACACACATATACAGACTGGGTCCCTGAAATGTTATCAAAGCATAATACAATACTTAAATGCTTTTTTCACCCTTAATGATTAAACGCACTTGAAAGAACCATGTGTGAAACTCTAGATCCACCTAAACTAATATAAGTTTGACATTCACTTCAGTATAAATAGGATTTCATTTTATACAAATAGTGTATTTCACTAGTCAAGAATTAATTGTAAGACTTGAATGGAAATAACCTCCTATTTTTAAAGGTACCACAAGCAAAGCTTTTATACACGCTGCTTAACAGAAGGTATAGCCCTTTTTTACTACTGTCCAATATTCCTATTAATTTTTAATTTCTGACTTTGTTTAGAATCTACAACCAATAGTTAAGTAACTCAAGTGAAGGAAACACAAGCAATATGAAGAGTAAAGCCACAAGGAAGAAAAAATTACTTTGTTTCCAGCTGAGCTTTTTCTGCTTGAGTCCTTGCATGTTGACATTCTTGTTTCAATCTCTCTATTATTTCCTTCAGCTTCTGATTACACTCCAGCAACCCATTTTCTGATTGAGAAAGTGAGGCAAGCTGGAGTTGCATGTCATGAATTTGCTATTAAAAAAAAAAAAAAAAGAAATTTATTCCATTAGAGAAGGTATGCAAATAACTAACAATTAATTTTGAGATACTGAGATGGAGCAAGATGCAGGCACCAGCTGGGTCTATTAGCTTTGCATAAGCTATTTGTTCCTTTTCTCCTTACTCAACAGCTTCTCCAGAAGCTTTATGGTAAATCACTACTAGACAAAGAAATTTTTCTATTGTAGTTAAAATGAGAAAGAGAAAGGGAAACAAGAGTCTTCCGTCATTGATGTATCCCCCAGAACTTAAGAAATCCAACATTAAGCCCCAGGGCTGAACAAAACTAGAGTACAACACAACATTTAGAGGCAGAGCTGTGGGGCTACCCAGACTCTTCTCTCTCATAACCCACAACGTGTTACAGCCCGCAGTGGCTGTACCAACCAGTGCATAACAACAAGTATGCACTGAGTCTGAAAAGCCCAACCTCTGCAGCCAGCACATAGAAAGGATGATTTCCCTTTCCTTTTCCTCTCCCACATGGACACTTGGATAACCTGATTTCTGGAGGAAAAAATACATTTCCTTCAAGCGCACACAGCTTGCAGACCGCTATGATGCATGGCTATGGTCTTACCTACTAAATTACATCATGGCCGAGCAAGAGTTAAAAGAATTAGGTTTTATTTTCAACACTGCCATCAATTCACTTTGCAATAGAAATATACCTCTTTGCAGTAGTTTATTCATTTATGAAACATCTGTTAAGCACTTGAAGAACCTCAAATGAGAGAAGCAGTGTAAATGCAAAGCATTACCTAGAAACAATTTATAAGTCTCCATGGAAACGGAATCTCCAGTTAAATAGTGCATAACTGTATTCAATATACCAGTCTATAAACATTCAGCTTTGAAACCCTTGCTACCCACAAAACACATGAAGCAAAAATCATTTCTAAAGGTCCAGGAAAGCATGGGTGATTTCTGAACATTTTTGCCTTTAAATATCTACTGTATGTGTTTTGACCCTCAGGAACAAAAAAAAAAGCCTTAAAAAGTCAATCTAGTCTTCAAACACTGGGCATGGTAACTGCAAGAAAGATTGTATTTCTCTATAAAACATTACAGTGCAACCTTACCTGTTTCAGATCTTCCAACGCCTCTGTCTGAGCAGCCTGCTGTTGAATTTTTAATCTAAAATTGTATAAGACAGCTTTATTTTTATTTAATTAAGATATAGATATTAGAACTTAGGACAAATCAGTCTGCCAATAGAATATACTGCATCATTTGAAAGGCTGATAAATATTTAATGGAATAATGATTAAGAATGTATTTGTATTATCAGAATTCATATAGAAGTAAAAAATACATTGGTTTGCTTGTGGAGTATGACTTTTGCTCATTTTATCATACTGACCTTCATACAAATACCAGAGTAAACCAACTTCACTAAGAACTAGACTAGACTCAAAGAGATCAGGGTCCCAGTTTGCCGGTTGCTGATATGGTGCCATTGTGGAAAGAGAAATGGTTTACTCTGTCACTGGGGCTATGCCAGCAGCCAACATGGACTCAACAAACACGAGTACTGCAAAATTATATCTTTAAAATGGTCATTAAAATAATGTGATTTTTAAAGGTTTGGATTACTATTTTTTTTTTTAAACAGCACAATTTCAATTCTGCCCTCTTTTCACACAATGCAAAAAAATAATTTTGTATAATTCACCATAAGGAACATTTGTGTATAGATGAACAGTAAACTTTTATACTGATTACTGTAAAGAAACAAGGGTGGGGGGGGGAAAATGGAAAATTTGTGGTCAAGTTAGAAAAGCCACGCTACCGCAAATGCTGAAGTTCTTTTTTGCTAGATTCTTCTGCCACCTGTGCAACACGCAGTTTCTCTTCATACTGATCCTTTTCAGATTGTCCTCGAGCATCTTGTTCCAGTTTCATCTTCTCTAGATCAGCTAATTTGTTCTCGAGTTCCAAACTGAAACATTATTCAACAGGTACATAAGAATCATGACAAAATGCCAGAAGGGTTTAGGCGCCAAGAATGACATATTTAGAAGTTACTCAAAACACTCCTTTTTAGAAGTTGAGCAGTAAATCAACAAACATACTTTTCATCCTGTAAGGCTGCAATTTTTCCAAAAAATTCCTCTTTGGCACCTTGCACTTTACGAATTAGTTCCCGATCCTTTTCTACTACAAGCGCCTTAAGACGTTCAACAGTTGACGTAAGAATTTCCTTGTCTGACAGCAATCCTGCATTATACATTTAAAAAGTTAAAATATCATTATTTACATCAACCTGATGAAATACAGTATTAAATTAACTTTATAAATTGATAAAAGGGAGCTAAAAATCACAATTCACATGATAGAATGAAGAAAAAACCACCCAAGAAAAGCAGAAAAGACATGGCCTTTCTTAGTCCAACAGCAACATTTTAAAAACTTTTGAAGAGTAACCATTACACTGGAATCTCTATCTACAAGGGTTTATTATTTTAACATACAAAAGTAATTTAATAGTTGATATTATTATAGAGTCAAACTCTTAAGCCATTTCTGTTATGCAGTTATATCTGGATTTTAAAAAAGTGTTCCACAATAGCTACACAAAGGTCAAACTAGAAAATTTCTTATTTTCTTTTTATGGAGAAGTTTATGGTAAGCAGTAACTGGTTACTAGTGGAACCATAACAACCTGGATACAACAAATCTCCCATTTTAATCCACTCGCATTACCAAATGAGACAATTCTAAAATTATGACTTCATACACAGAAACAGGAGATGTAAATTAAAAACTTGTGACCAAGACACCTATGTTCACCTCATTAATGTTTATAAATTTGTAAAGGGCGAGTGTCAGGAAGAAGGAGCCAGGCTCTTCTCTGTGATGTCAAATGATAGGACAGGGGGCAATGGGAGCATGCTGGAGCATAGGAGGTTCAATCTGAATATGAGGAAAAGCTTTGTTACTGTAAGGGTTACAGAGCACTGGACCAGGCTGCCCAGAGAGGTTGTGGAGTCTCCTTCTCTGGAGACATTCAAAACCCGCCTGGACGTGTTCCTGTGTGACCTGGTCTAGGTGATCCTGCTCTGGCAGGGGGGTTGGACTGGATGATCTTTCGAGGTCCCTTCCAACTCCTAATATTCTGTGATTCTGTGGTTCACTGGTAAATAAGCCAAGATGCTACGAACAATGACTCCCAGTTATTTAGCTAACTCAGAGATAAAAACTAGATTTCCACAGCAAGTTCAGGTTAGCTTAAATCTTGCCTGTATGAGCTTCATATTTTATTGGGTCCTAAATTTTTAGTTCACAATACAGTATAAGTGCATTGTTGATACAGAAATCAGCATTTTTTAGTTGCTCTCAGGGAACTTCATATTAATGCAAGTGAACAGAAACAACTGCTCCAAGAAGATGAAGGTAGTGTTTTGGGGGTATGGCAAATTGGTGAGGACAGTCGACTTAAAAGCTGTGCAGTGACTTAAATCACCAGCACATAACCAGTACTAGAAAGCCTTGGCCTTTTCACTCAAGGTTATTTCAGGTTGCCTACAGGCTTCAGCTGTATTAGGTAGCTTGGACCACCCCTGTTTTCTTCAAAGAACAAGCCAGAAATTATGTTTTATTTCACATGGCAGCCTTACCCAACTGTTAACAATTCCATGGACAGAGAATCGGAATAAAGCAGAGTGTGAGAGACTCTAGAATTTGGCAATGACAGAAGAAAATAACCCTATGAAGTACATGATTTAAAACCGATTATGCTCAAATTGTGTCACAAAATCAGTAATTTACATAAATGTAAAATTCTTCTGCAGCAGCTGTTCTTCTTAACCTAGTAGACCAAATGAAACAATACCACTATTTCAGATATAAAAACACATTTTCAGATCTATGACCTAGACCAGAAGTAGAAGGTGAAGGCTGCTGGGGAACGTTTGGAAGAAACGTAACTGTAGTATTCTTAACTAGAAATTACAAAAGAAATAATTAGAAAAAAAATTGCACATTTTACCATCCATTTCACTTTGAATCTTGTTTCTCTCTCTTTCTACCTCACTCTTTGTTTTTGCTGCCTCCAGTTTGACATTTGTTATTTCCAATTTATGTGAATGTTTAAGTTCTTCTACCTATGAATTAGAAAAAGATCAGATCAACTAAAATAAACAAACATTCATTTTTTTCCACAACTTTAATATAAGTTTTTCATGTGATACTTTGCTAACAAGAACATCCACCAATCAATCATGGACTGTGCTTATTTTAAGCATATTTTAACTATTTTTTTCATCCACTGCTTTCCTGAAAGCCAACTCAGAATACCCACTCTTGTAAGTAATTTTTAATGGCGATTATAAGGATACTGTAACACTAAAGCTACTGACTAGATCTGATTCCCCAAATCATAATCAGTGCCGTTACAGGATTTTATTAATTCCTCAAGTTACACACTACAGATAATTGGATGGGTTGTCAGTCATCTAGAAATGCAAGTTTTATATATTCTCTGATTAAAAAAAAATTAAATAAAGTGCTCAAACACTACATTCCAGGCTGTCTGACTATTGGCATGTATTTCATCTTTAACCAGCCAGTTATTACAAGCTACAGTGTAGAAAAGTTATTATTTCAAGAAGCCTTGGTGATATATGCACAGATGCACAGGGTTGCCTGCGAAAACTTGATTTCTGAGTAAGTACTATACATTCTATACATTCAAGCTAGCCCCCGAATACTGGGGTATTTCTGAGAAGACTACTCATTGGATACATCTTGCTATCACACTGATCCAAACTGCATGAGACCCTGATGCCTCGCTAACTCAAGCACTATCATGTCAGTTTAAACATACTTCACTTCCGAGTCAAGCTAAAATAAAGTTAAAATTCATCTCCCTAAGTAAAACAAAACAGTGATATGCAAAGCCAGATTATCAATTGCTCTCCCAAGAAATTTCAATTTGGTAACTACTTTTAGTCCCCCTGACGTCCTGGAGTACTACACTACTTTCTCAAAAATCCACATCTTCATAGTTTTAAAGCCCATTTTGAAACAAATACTTTTCTACAACTGTGACATTCATGCCAAACGGCCTCATAAAAGCAGGAGCTTTAAGAACATCAAATCAAAGACAATTACTGCTTGCATGGAAACTTTCTATAGTTTAGGCATTTGTACGCAGTAATTACATGGTCAATGAGAATTAAATATCTAGAGGAAAGCACTTATAATGAAAATCCCTTCACAATGACAAATGTAATTACAACCTGCTAGCATATACAAGTGGCAAAAGGTTAAGAATGACATAGTAGCTTATTAAGTAACTACACAGTGGATTTGCTTGCTTAAATACCAAGTTGAGAACATTTCAGGGCAACTTGCAAAGATTTAAGGTGGCTTTTTTAAGGCACAAAATCTGGAAGACAAATGTGTGCACCTGTGCTCAGGAATAAGTTTGAGTGGGTGAAGAAGGGAGTGGAGGTTAGAAATGAATTTCTATACTACTTCCCTCCCTTCAAAAAACACCATGGAACATTTTAATTTTCTGCTACTTTTGGAAGTGAACAGAGAACGCCAGATTATACAAAAAGTAAAGACTATAACAATCTTCTATATATTCAGATAGACAATTGATTATAAAATGTTTAACAGAAATTTCACCCTCCTATTTGTTATTAATGTGGGACATGTATGACACATTCTGCAGAGGTTTCAAATACTGGTTTAAGTATGTCTTATTCTTATGGTAAATTAGAGCTTTTTTGGATTAAAGACCAAAATGAAATACTTCACACTCATAACTGTCCACTGTAAAGCCTGTTTTGAATGAAACCTGAGATTATTAACAAACAACTATGGTAGAAGTTAAAGTTTTCTTCCTGTATTGTATCTTCCCTGAGGCATATGACAATATTAACTGCCATACTCATACACAGTGCATGTCAGTGTTATTTTGGTAAGTATATTCAGAAATGCAGGACAGCTTTAAGACAACAGGAAGCTTAAAATAATTCTTCATTCAGCTGGACATACAAGACAAAAGTTACTGGCTTTACAGTTATTACAGAACTAACTAAATCTTCTCCAGAAAGGTAAGAAAACACAAAGGATTAAATTTGCCACCAGGAACTGACAGATGCGATACTCTAATTTACATGAAGCAATGTAACTGTTCTGCAGCATTTGAAGGTAAACCAGTTTACTAGTGTTTCGATGTTTCTTCTTTAATGAAATAATCACATATGAAATTGCATAAAGGATCTGTCGTTTTAAAGTTGTGTAGCTGAGGAGTCACTGCAACCAGATAAAACTCCGAATCTGGCATCCATACTAATCTAATTATGCTGAAATACTAAAGTGTGATATCAAGTTTCTTGAGCACTTTCAGGTTTTCCCTTAACTAGAACCCTTCTGATCTGTCTTTTTTTCTGAAGTATTTTGCTAGAAATTTCCCTAAGATCTGAAAAAAAACCCAACAAACAAAACAACCCTCTAAGATCTGGTGCCAACCCAACAACTAAGATACTCAAACATCTTGCAAGACAATGATCTACTTAAAATGATCCGACGCAGTGCTGTACAGAAATGTTTCTGTACAGGCTATGCTAACTTGACTATCCTGCTTCTAACAGAACCTAAATTTCTGCAGGTGATTCCAATGCAGCTGACAAACAGAGGATACTTTTTAAAATCTCCAGAAGCCATAGCTGCATTTGCGGGGGT